TCTTTGATTATATATAATATGGATTGAGCCAACGAGAGAGATAGCTTGCGCAAGGTGATCGAACCGAGATAGACATAGAAGCGTACTGCCATATAATGGGTGTACTGATAGAAGTGAGATAGATATAGAAGCGTACTGACATATAATATATCTATCTTTGTTACACTTTCACATTATCGCTTTCCATCTGCGTCTATTCACCTTGAGCAACATTTTTGTTAGTAGATATATTCAGTTAGCTCAATCCATATTATATATAATCAAAGACCCTACTTCATGTCATGATGATTGTTTAATTGCGAATTATAGACATATATTTATTGATCGCTCGTACCCGGTTCCTGAACGTGTGGTGGTGACGTCAGAATGTACGTAAAAAATGATTTTAAGTTTAACCACATTTATAACGAGGTTCTTATCTTTGTTGAACAGTTATGGAGCGAGGTGAGCCGTGGGGGACTGTCACTATCAGTTGGTGTTCTATATAGACCGGACGTCGATTTTGCTCAATTTTTAAACAATTTTGAAAACAATGTGTCCAATTTGGTCCTGCATTCCGAGTGGTTGCTATGCTTAGGTGACTTCAATGTCAATGCTCTTGGCGTCACAGGTGCTTACTGCAACCGTTCATTATCGGTTATTGAATCTTTTAACCTAAGTCAAATTAACTCATCTGCTACCCGTGTCACTGCTACATCGGCTACATTACATTACATTACATAGAATACATATCGGGTAGGCGGACCAATCAACCTTGCACCGCGACCCTAAGGATCTATTGTACCCCGATAGATATCATTATCAAATTTCACCGTGCAGTCCAATGCTCTTAACGGACATTAATACCTTGCTCGCCGAAAGGTCATTCAGATCTTTTGAGGAGATAAACTGCGACCCAAAAATCGAGAATCTGATACGGTTAACGGCAGGGCAGTGGCATAAAACATGCTCAACCGTCTCTGCTTCCTCCGCACATAGTCGGCATTCAACATCGTCGGCTAAACCCAACAAGTTGAGGTGTGCTTTTAATCGGCAGTGCCCAGTAAAAACACCCATTAGAACTTTTATGCTACTACGAGCAAGTCCCAAAATATTCCCGGGTTTGACAGTGGCGATGTTAATAACCACCTTAGCATGTCTCATTCCAGGAGAACTGGTCCACAGTAGGCGAAGTCTCTCTTCAGCCCACAGTCCAATCCTATATTTGGCCATCGCAAATGATACACCAACTGCTGGTTCCGGTCCCACAAACGCTTCAGCGCTGCCATCTCGTGCTAGCTTATCTGCCGCTTCATTGCCAGCAACACCAGAGTGAGCCGGGACCCAGATCAGAGAGACTCTGTTATCACAACTCATCATTAACCAGAGCCGACACCGTTTTCACGGCTTGCAGCGCCTGGAGAGCGGCTTGACTGTCTGAGAAGATTCGTACTGTCATGTTCTTCACCCCTCTTTCAAGAAGGATTTTAGCACCCATGTCAATAGCAAATACTTCCGCCTGGAATACAGTACAGTACGTACCCAGGCTGTAGGCTTGCTTAATTCGAGGTGTCTGGAAGTATACTTCTGCTCCTACCCCTTCAGGCGTTTTTGATCCATCTGTGTACAAGCAAATGTCTGCCCGAACCAGAGAATTTTCATTTTCGATCCAGGACTGCCGCTCAGGCAGTACAATCTGGTATCGAGCATTAATCACTGATAGTGATACCGCCAAATCTGACGGCATTGATAGCACAGTATCAGTGCTTATAATGTCTTCCGCAGCCCATTGGTAGGACATGTCGGAACAGTTTTGAGCATATTGCTTAAATCTGTAAATGGTTGTTCTAGCCACTTTCTCTATATGCAAATGCAGAGGAGATAGGCCAAGCAGAACCTCCATTGCTAGAGTAGGCGTTGTGCCTATCGCACCAGAGATTGCCAATCCAGCTACTCGTTGAATTCGTGAAAGTTTACTGATAGCTGAAGTCTACATCGGCTACACTTATTGTCTATATTATTGTGGATGTAGATGCTTCTCTAAACGATACAGGAATCATTCCTGTACATGGTGTTGCAGATCATTCTTTGGTGTATGTACACTTAAATTTGTCTTATCCTAAGGCTTCACCTAGGATATTGAACTATAGAGACTTTAATAATTTCAATATGGATTTGTTTCCTCGTGATCTTCTTGCAGTGTCAGGCAGGATATAGTCGGTTGTGATAACATTAATGATCAGGTTAACCTCTTTAACTTTTTTATGCTTACTCTTTTTGATATCCATGCGCCGATGAGAACTGTGACAACAAGAAAGAATTTTCGACCTTGGGTGGCCGACACTATTAAAATTTTAATGAAACTTAGGAATGATGCATACAGTAAATTTAGAAAAACGAGTAATCTCAATCATTTTAAATATTACAAGGAACTGCGGAATTTTACGAATTCTTCAATTCACAGAGAAAAGAAAGCATATCTCTCATATACGTTAATTAAGAAAGATTCTCGTGAACTTTGGCAGAGTTTCCGTTGCATGGGTATCCTTAATACTAAACAACGCCCAATCCCTGTCTGTATAGGCAATCCTGATCAACTTAATTATTATTTCCTTGGTACTCAGGTTAGTGTCCGAGGTCATGCCAATTTCATTCATTATTACCAATCGAGTGTATTGCCTAATATAACTGAACCGTTATCTTTCTCTCTCGTATCGGCGAAAGAGGTTTCGGATATTCTGTACATTATTAAAACAACTACAATCCGTATTGACGGAATTAGCGCTAAAATGCTTTTTATTGTCTAGTTATCATTCCTTACATCTGCCACATTGTAAGTTATTGCCTCGAACATTCTGTATTTCCGGAACTTTGGAAGATGGCGCAAGTGACGCTTATTCCAAAAGCTGCTAACCCTCGTGAACTTAAGGACCTCAGACCCATTAGTATATTATCCATTTTATCTAAGATTTAAAAAAAAATTGTGGCTATTAAACTGAATCAACGTTTAAAAAGTTTTAATATCTTACCGGTCCATCAGTCTGGTTTCCGTGCTGGTCACAGTTGTACTACGCTCTCCTCGACGTAACGGATGATATTCTTGAGGCCATTGATCGAAAACATGCAGCGGTTTTGATCTTGCTGGATTTCTCTAAGGCCTTTGATACCATACACAACCCCACGCTATTGGCTTTTCTCCACTACATTGGACTTTCCGTAAGTGCCATACATTTTTTTGGAAACTATCTTCTTAATCGGATGCAAACTGTTAAGCTTAACGGGAAAGGGTCATTAGCAGTTGCGGTGTCGTCAGGAGTACCACAAGGATCAATTCTTGGTCCCTTAGTTTATTTAATCTATACTAGTAATTTACCAAAAGTACCTCAACATTGTTCAGCTCACATGTACGCGGACGACACTCAGCTATATTACACTTTTGATATCTGTCATATTGATAAAGCGCAGATTGCCATTAATTCCGATTTGGAAAGATTAGTTAACGAAGCATCTAAACTTTGTTTGAATATTAATGCCGGTAAATCGGCTATGATGGTCTTTGGAAGCAGGGGTGTAGTGGGGAAAATAAAGGAAACTCTATCTGTAGAAGTGATCGGCAGTGGATTGGATTTTACTGTGGAATCCTGCAACTTGGAAATGTATCTGGACACCTCTCTTAGATTTCGTGGACATGTCTCTTTCCTTGCATACGCTAATCTTAAATTACTCAAGAGTGTAGAGTAACAGGAGTTTGCTTAACCAACGTCTAAAAATTCAACTGTGCGAAGCTCTTGTTCTGTCATTATTTAACTTTGGAAATATTGTATATCATCCATTTCTGGATGCCGTCACCAAAATGTGTATTCAAAGGGTACATTTATGGTATCAAACGACGGGAGAAAATTACTTACACGTTGAATTGGGCCAATTGGTTCAATTCGTAGAATCGTAAAATTCTCCACTGTGCCTGTCTTTATCACAAAATCATTACCTACAAATGTCCTCCGTATTTAACTAATAAGATCAGATTCCGTAGTGATGTGCATAATATTAATGTCCGACACCGCCATATGTTATGTATTCCCCATCATAGCCTGCAGATTTTTAAACGTTCATTCGGTTACAATATAATCTCAGTTTGGAAAAGCATACCATTATCACTGTTTATCAGTCATTATCAGCGGGGTGAGCGAGGCTTCAAGTCAGCTTACAAAGAATTTCTGCTGAATGAGTAGAATTAGTTTTAATTTTAGTTGGTTGGAGGATAAAGGGGAGGTAAAGCATAACAGATTTATTGATTTCTTTTTTTATTTTGTTTTTAATATTATATATTATTCATCTTACTCACTACATCTTTTCTTGATTTGAATTTTGTTCTTCTTTTTCTCTCTCGTTTTGTTTATTTTTTTAAGGGTTGATGAAAAACAATAACAGTCTATTTGCATTGACTCAACCCTTTTTGATGATGTGCTTGTTGAGTATATTGTAAAACTCATTATGTATATGTATAATAAGGTTAAAGCTCTGTTTTGAATTATTGTACTACAGTAAAACCTCGACTTACGCTACCCCGTCTTACGCGACCCCGTACTGACGCGGTTTTTCTAACGACGCCGCGCCGTCGGGGCGCGACAAGAAGGCGCGTTAGCCATCTCGCATTTTTTTTATTTCTTCATCGTGTTTTTCGCTGGTAGTCTTGTGTATTCACCAACACGAAATAAAACGTTTCGATAGAATATTTTAAAACTTTTACAAATGTCCTGTAAAAGAAGCAAAAGTGATTATTCGGCGCCGAATAAAAAAAGGAAAACTTTAACGTTAGATTATAAACTTAATATAATCAAGGGTTTTGATAGTAGTATGAAGGTCTGTGAACTCGCGAGAAAGTTTGATCTCTCGGAATCCAGTATACGGACAATTATAAAGGACAAAGAAACAATTCTCACGGCTGTGAAAAATACGCAGTCGTTAAACTCTACCATAATTCGCAAACGTCATGGTATTATTGCGGAAATGGAATCAATCTTAAAATCATGGTGCGATAATCAAGTCCATGTAAAAAACTGTCCAGTTGATCAAAACACCGTATGTAGTCAAGCAAAGTTAATTTTTGAAAAATTAAAAGAAAAAGCTGGAGAAGCGGTCAAAGACGAAACCTTTGCTGCCAGTAACGGTTGGTTCGACCGATTTAAAGTTCGTTGTAATTGGCATAGTATTGCCGAGAGCGGAGAAGCGGCCAGTGCAGACAGAGAGGCCGCGGTTTCTTTTCCCAAAACATTAAAAAGTTTGATTGTGGAAGGTGGTTACACGAGCCAAACCATATTCAACGTGGATGAGACAGGTTTATTTTGGAAAAAGATGCCTAAAAGAACATTTATAGCTCGCGAGGAAAAAACATTTCCAGGTTTCAAAGAGTCTAAAGACCGTTTGACCGCGATGGTTGGTGCGAATGCAGTAAATTAAAGCCTCTTTTAATTTACCGATCGGAAAATCCAAGAGCTTTAAAAAATAAGTCTAAAGCTGGCTTGCCCGTAATTTGGAAATCAAATCCTAAGGCTTGGATGACAGCGTCTATCTTCGAAAACTGGTTTGATTGCCACTTTATTCCCGAGATTAAACGCTACTGCGAAACTAAACAAATTCCTTTTAATGTAATGCTTCTTATTGACAATGCTCCAAGTCATCCGCCAACTGTTCTATTTAATTTTAACCCACATGTTAAGGTTGTTTTTTTGCTACCAAACACAACCAGTCTACTTCAACCAATGGACCAAGGAGCCATTAAAACATTTAAGGCTTATTACACACGACGTTCATTTGCGCACTTGAATAATGCTATGAGACAGAACGATCAAATGTCCGTTAAAGATTTTTGGCGGCAATTCACCGTTTTAGATGCTGTTAGACTTATTGGAGAATCTTGGGACGAAGTTTCGGAGAAAACATTGAGTAATGTTTGGAAGAAAATCTGTCCATTTTTTTTTCAACAACGAAACGGAAGTAACAGCCGACGTAGATTTTCTTGGTAATACTATAGAAGAAATAGTAACTCTTGCGACGGCATTAGATATGGATGTTGACAGAAACGATATTCACGAGCTATTGAATTCCCATAACAACGATTTAACGATTGTCGAGCTTATAGAAATGCGTGACCAAAATGATGCTGATGAAGAGGTCAGTTCTGATCCAGCCCAAGTGGAAAAACAAATGACAATTGCAAGTTTAACTCAAGGTTTGGACTCAATTGAAAAAGGTTTGAAAATTTTGGAAAATATAGACCCTAATGAAGAACGAGTTATTACTACAACGCAAGGTATTAAAAAATTATTAGCTTGTTATGAAGAAATTCTTCGAGAAAAAAAAGCATCCCTCATTCGTCAGTCTAGTCTTTTAGATTTTATAAAGCCGTCAGAACCGACGTAATAATATACGTTTTAATATTATTTATGTAACTTATATTTTCATATTGCTTTTATTTTTTCGGGAAAATAAATTTATTAAAATTAGTAGTAGTATTATTAGTATGTACATACATTTTTTTAACAAAATTATGTTTAATTATTAATGTTTATTAATCCTTGATTATATATATATATATACATATAATCTATATATATATATATGTATTTATCGTATTTCGACTTACGCGATTTTCGACTTACGCGGCTACTGTCAGTCCCACCTATCGCGTAACTACGGGGTATTACTGTATTTTGATTATTATTGTGCCTCATCATCAATAAACATATATTATTATTATAAACGATGTCATATAATATATGGATTGTATATTGCCCCCTTTCAGTATAATTATTATCTATTTTATCATTCGAGAAATGTATTTCGACTGAGTGGGTCGTGTTTCTCTTACAAAACCCGAAATCGTCTTGCTAACAAAAGCAAGACTAAAAATTCAGCAATATACAGGGTGTCTCACGTAACTGGTTCGTTAGAACTTTTTCAGGTCCCACTATTCGCAGAGATTTGAAATTTTGGTAGCATGGGTTGCTCATGCGGAACTTTCGATCTAAAATATTTTCAAGATGGCCGCCACTACCGGAAGTAGGCCATAACTTCGCTATTTTAAATGGAATGCTATACTTTTTATTACACCGTTTAATTGTATGTAAAAAAATAGGTTGACTTTGATAAAAGTTATTGGTACCTAGCGTTTTTCATTTTCGAGTTATTTTAGTTTTAAGCTTTTTTTGGAAAATTTCAACATGCTCTTTAAAACTCCATATCTCAGCCAACGTTCATTCAAAAAATATCTACGTTGACACGATTACTCTTCAGATATTGTCAAATAGATTGTCATTTGTTGTATCGAAGTATCTTATACAGCGTGGTCAAAAATTGAATTACTGTTTCTCCATATTCAATGCTGAGAAAGTCGAAAATTTTAAATAGAACGCCCCATATTTTTTTAGCCTATCAGAAAGAGAATTTAATTCTCTACAAATTATCTATAAAGATTCCCATACCTATTTATTGTAGTTTGCCTCATTGCGAAATTTATTAAAACATGCACGAAATGCAGGTTTTCTTATTAGAAAGCTATGGAATTTTGACAGTTTTTGGTCCATGTTTGTATTATTGTTGTCATTAGTTACATTTGACGACGGGTGTAAGTCATTGAACATCATGATAAATTATTTCAACGCCGATATTTGAAATTTATTTTGTATTGATGGCGAATGTAATAAACTTTTGGACAGGACGTGTCGAACACTTAATGAGAGATGCCTAACAAACCTAACGCCCATCACAAGGAAAAATTTCAAAAAATTGATAAAGAATTTCTTAGTTCTGGATATATCGAGACCAAAAAACATCGCATATTTCCGGTCACTAGTGATGAAGACAACGAAATAAATATTTTATTGTNCACATCCCGTTGAAAATAGCCTCTAAATAACAGTTTTGGTTCCAAAGTGTACTACATCCAGTCGCTGTTTAGTGTCAAAACGTACCAAATCCATTTCAACCAATCCGAGACGTTCTTAAAGTAACGTGACTAACCTAAAATAATGTAACCGTGTAACTTTCTGCTGTCAACAAGATTGTTCGTCTGTTAGTATTTAATAGTTTACAAAATGAGTATTGTTGAGACAGAAGAGTTTTTTGAAGACATTCAATCGACAACAAATGCTAGAAAGCGGAAAAGTGATAAAAGCAAGTGGAAAAAGAATGTTCTTAAGAAAAACAGATATGAGCTTAAGTCAAAAAAAGAACCACGTGTATCCTGCTCACATAACGATAAAGTATGTAAAGCTAGACAACTAACAGCCGCTGATATATCTGGTTTCCATGGATATTTCTATAAACATAAAACTGCAGTTTCTCAAAAAAACTTTCTAAGTGCATACATAATCGTGGAACAACCAAATAGACATAGACCAAATCAAGGCAAATCTAAAGGTTATGCAAAATCTATAAGTGTGAAATATTCGATTCAGTAAGAAAACTAGATGTAGCGACTGTGTTGCCTTCTCAAATAAACTCAAAGTCATAAACGACGATGTCGTCAAACGTACAATGGTTGTTGAGCAAATGCTTCACATAAGAAGATCGAAAGCATTTTTTCAGCAGTTGAATTTAAAGCCAGAGAATTCTATCACAATAAACTTTGATATGATGCAGAATCAGCCGTTGCCAAAAACACAGTACTCGAAGAATTGCATTGGCGGAAGTTGTCGATTATGTGAGTGTGTGGCGTATTTTAAGAACTAATCAGCTTTATCCGTA